CTGGGCCCTCAAACTTTGCAGTAGGGCTAACTCTGGGCAAATATTTACAAAAATCCACCAGGTATTAAGCTGCAGAACATGTCTCAACAAAGTGCAAGAATTAGTAATATGAAGATCACTTTTTATGACAACAATGCATCCGTCTTAAAAATAATTAAAAACAACAAATAAAGACCCCCCCATATACTAGGAATTTTAAAATTGTACTATTAAGTAGTTTATGGATCAACATAGAAATTATATGGAAATTAGAAAATACTTGAAAACGAGTAATATTAAAAATACTATCCAAACTTGTAGATGCAAATAAAGCTGCTCTTTGAAGAAAATTTAAACACATTAGAAAAAAGGAATGTTAAAAGTTAAAAACACCCAACTTGGTAGGTTTGAGAAAGAACATCAGAATGACTCCTAAAAATCTAGAAAGAAGGAAATAATAAAAGTAGATGAAGAAACTAATGAAATAAAAAGAAAAAATCCAACAGATTATATTATGAAGTTTTAACTAACATACTCTCAAAGTGGACATTAGCTTAAAAATATTTACTGCAAAGAAACCACAGGTTGAAGAGGATACTAATAATGTAAACACAAGTAACAATAAAATTGAAGAGCTGACATTTCTCACACTTCCTAGTACAATCTTTACAGAAAGAAATTAGGTCCCCTCTAAACAGCAAGCTAGTAAACTTGAGGTATGGAAAGAACATTTTGTAAAGGAATCTTTGAAAATGTATCCATTGTCCTGCAGTTTTTGTTGCTAAAATTACATAAATGTAATAACACTGTCTAAATACTCTCATAGTTACCCTTTTGAAAATATGGAAGGAGAATTTGCTAACCTGTTTTAAAAATCTTCTAAATGAAAAGTTTTAGTGAGTTTTGTATATATGTGTTAAAAAGGGGAAAAATGCAATGTGTAACTATTGGTTTGCAAGAACAACTCACAGACATCAGAAAAGATGGAAATTCACTAGCCAGATCTTCACTAGCCAGATCTTCAGCCAAACATTTGCATAACTGGTGAATGTGATAGAAAATTATGAGTAAAAGGAGCCAATGATGAATTTTTTTTTCCATTTGATCTAAGAATCTTTGTGAGTTATTGTTTCAGCAGAGCCATACATTAAGAACCAGGTAATGAGACATAGATCAATGGAATAGAATTGAGAGTTAAAAAAAAAACATACATTTACAGTCAGCTGATTTTTTTTTTCTCTGTTGTGGCCTCTCCTGTTGCGGAGCACAGGCTCCGGACGCGCAGGCTCAGCGGCCATGGCTCACGGGCCCAGGCGCTCCGCGGCATGTGGGATCTTCCCAGACCGGGGCACAAACCCGTGTCCCCTGCATTGGCAGGCAGACTCTCAACCACTGCGCCACCAGGGAAGCCCCTGATTTTTTTTTTTTTCAACATCTTTATTGGAGTATAATTGCTTTACAATGTTGTGTTAGTTTCTGCTGTATAACAAAGTGAATCAGCTATATGCATTCGTATATCCCCATAACCCCTCCCTCTTGCGTCTCCTTCCCACCCTCCTTATCCCACCCCTCTAAGTGGTCACAAAGCACTGAGCTGATCTCCCTGTGCCATGCAGCTGCTTCCCACTAGCTATCTATTTTATTTGGTAGTGTATATATGTCAATGCTACTCTCTCACTTCGTCCCAGCTTACCCTTCCCCCTCCACGTGTCCTCAAGTCCATTCTCTACATCTGTGTCTTTATTCCTGTCCTGTCCCTAGGTTCAGTTGATTTTTGACAAGCTTACCATGACAATTCAATGAAGGAAAGAATAGTGTTTTCAACAAATATGCTGGCACAACTAGCTATCCACATTCAAAGAATAAAGTTGAACCCCTTCCGCACACCATATACAAAAATGAACTCAAACTGGACCTAAATGTAATAACTAAACGTATAAAACTCTTAGAAGAAAACATAGATGTAAAGCTTTAGTACCTTGGATTAGGCACTGGTTTTTTAGATATGGCACCAAAAGCATATGAATCCAAAGAAACATAAGAGGTAATTGACTTCATCAAAATAAAAACTTTTGTTCTTCAAAGGCCACTATCAAAAAAGTGAAAAGATAACCCACAAGATAAAAAAAAATTTGTAAATCATATATTCAATAAGGGTCTATTGTCCAGAATATGTAATTTATTACTCAACAATAAAAAGATAAATAACTCAACTTAAAAATAAACAAAGAATTTGAGTAGACATTTCTCCAAAGAAGATATACAAACTACCAACATGCCCATGAAAAGATGCTCAGCATCATTAGTGATTAGGGAAATGTAAATCAAAACCACAGTGAGATACTACTCACACTCACTAAGACAGCTATAATAAAAAGACAGACAATAGCAAGGGCTGGTGAGGGTATGGAGAAATTGGAACCCTCATAAGACTGCTGGTGGGATTGTAAAATGGTGCACCCACTTTGGAAAACCATCTGGCATTTCCTCAAATGGTTAAACATAGAGTTAGCACATGACTCGGCAATTTTTTAAGTCCACACAAAAGCTTGTACAGGCAATTTTTTAAGTCCACACAAAAGCTTGTACATAAATGTTCATAGCAGCATTATTCATAATAGCCAAAAAGTGGAAACAACCCAAGTGTGCATCAACTGATGAAGAAATAAAGATAATGTAGTACATCTATACAATACAATATTATATGGCCATCAAACAGAATGAAGTACTGATACATGCTACAACATGGATGAATCTTGAAAACATTATGCTAAGTGAGAGAAGCCAGACACAGAAAGCCATATACTGTACGAATCCGTTTATGTGAAATGACAGTAATAGGCAAATCCATGAAGACAGAAAATAGATTAGTGGTTGCCAGGGGCCAGCGGGAGAAGGAACTTGGAGTGACTGCTGATGAGTATGGGGTTTCGTTTGGAGGTGATGAAAATATTCTAAAATTAGATAGTGGTGATTGTTGCATGACTTTGTGAATGTGCTAAAAACCACTGAATTGTATAAATTAAAAGGGTGAATTTTATGGTATGTGAATTATATCTCAATTTTTTAAAGATTTAAAAAATACAAGTATTGTAATAAACTGAACTAGTCCAAAATTTTGAACCGCAGCATCACAGAGTCACAACTGGTTTTTTTGTTGTTTGTTTGTTTTATTTTTTGGCCGCCCTGCACGGCATTGTGTGATCCTAGTTCCCCGACCAGGGATCGAACCTGCGCCCCGTGCAGTGGAAGCTCGGAGTACTAACCACTGGACCACCAGGGAAGTCCACAAACTGTTTTTCTTTTTAAAGAAAGAAGTATATTTAATCATCTTGCTCTCACTAGCAAAAACAATTTTTTGTACCGTCACTAATTAAAATGTAATTTAAAAGTACCTTTAAGATAGTTTAACCTTTATCTTATCCTTTAAATTTTAATTCTGGCCTATTTCATATTGTACATAAAATAGTAATGCAGCAGTACGGGGATATAGTTTCTAAATATGTAAATATACATATATTGGATATAATGCACGAGGGCTTTTATGGATGTGGAGCACAATCAACAAAGTTAGAGGCCACTGCTTTGGTGTCTTGTTAGATGACAGTCAGGAAAGAAACCTCAGGGAAATGGATATAAGAAAATCAGCAAGAGGTACTGACATATCAAATCTTAGTTTATATTAAGAATACCAAAGGAATTTATATACATGATTAAAATAAAAGCTAATCTGAAAGTCTCTACTGGAAAATACTCTGAAGTTATAATTTTAACTCATTTCAATTCTTCATCATGCGGTGGCAATTTGGTACTAAGCAAATTTCCATTCTGTGTTTCTCCACAGGAGAGGGTCACATCTTATATACTGTGTACTAAAAATACATCCTTCGAGAATAATAGTGTTACAGTTCTTTCTTCAGTTGTGTCCCTGACTGCTAGCCAGGTGTTGGCTTGCTTTACCAATTCAGCTGGTACCGCAGACGTTGTCTGGTCCAGTGTCCAATTTCTTTTCTCCACTTGCCCTGGAAAAAGACAGTGGTGTCCCTGTAGTCTGTGATCTGTCTCTTCAAATGTTTGCCTGACCTCATTATCCAGAACACTCTATAAATGTAGTCTGCTACACAGCCCTGAGTCTGTGAAGGAGCAGAATACTCTCTTGAAAGTGACAAAGCAAAATAGAATGATCTGTCTAGCCAGGCTTGGAAAATACAGTTGCCAGGTTCCTACTGGTTTGGAGAAAATGCATGAGCAATGTGCCGGCCACCACCCTCTGTTCCTGAAACACTGCTGTGAAATTTTATAGAAGAATCAAAAACTAAGAGGAAAGCCTGCCCCTTTGCTGGCATATCTGCCCACTAGCTGTTCTTCAGGAAGTGCTTTGTACTGTATGAGTGATCACGAAGCTCAGAGCATGGCTGCACACATATCCCCACATCGCCGGTTAGTTGGCCCATAGATTTAATGTCTTTCCTTTCAGTAGGGTGACACCGTGGGAAGACTACCCAGAAAAGTTGTGTTTGAATTTCTGGTCTTCCACCTACTGGCCTTGGGGAATCACTCAACTTCTCTGATCCTTGGTATTCTCATCTGTAAAATGGAGATAAGGACAACTACTGTGTATGGCTGTTGTGCAGCTGAAATAAGAGAATATATCTAAAAACAGCACAGTGTCTGGCACACAGTAGATACTCAACAAATGTTAGATTTATTTTTTGCAAGTCAGGGATACAGGATCTGGGGTGATTCCCCTTTATCATCCCACAAGAACTATCACTGACATTGTTGGTGTTGCTTAACCAAAGGACAAACAGCCATATACACTTCTTCTTGACAGGAAACCATGATTTTTTTTTAAACATTTCTTTTTAAAAATATTTATTTATTTATTTATTATTTATTTTGGCTGTACTGGGTCTTAGTTGCGGCACATGGGATCTTCATTGCGGTATGTGGGCTCTTATTTGTGGCATGCAGACTCTTAGTTGTGGCATGCATGTGGGATCTAGTTCCCTGACCAGGGATTGAACCCAGGCCGCCTGTATTGGGAGTGCGGAGTCTTACCCACTGGGCCACCAGGGAAGTCCCAAACCATGATTTTTTTGGATGGTGTTTGAGCATGGATTCTCCCGAAGGCAGAGCCTGAGATAAGACTAGTGTGCAAGTATTTATTTGGAAGGTGATTTCAGGGACTAGGAATGAGGGCCTGAGTAGAATTGGACAGAGAAAGAAGAAAAGCCAATAGAAGAGTATGCTATCAAGGTCACTGCTGTGGGCAATGGAGGTGGATTCCACCAGGACCTTCTAAGAAGCGTGCAGAATGACCCTGAAGGATGGGATGCATGAGCATTTCTCTATTGTTTCTGTGCTGTAGTAGTTAGAGTTTGGGGGTGTTAGCCCGCCACCCTTCCAAGCTATGCATGTCCACCAGCTGACTGAGTGCACCCACGGGTGCCTGCTTGCAGCAAGGGCTGTTGGGGAGAATTGAGTCAAGGCCTATGCCCACCCCAGCCAGGACTGGCTACGTAATTTGTGGGATCCAGTGCAAAATGAAAAGGCTGGGTTCTCTGTTAAAAAACTATTAAGAATTTCAAGACAGCAACAGAAGAGCATTAAACCAAGACCTTCTAAACGAGAGGCCCTGTGCAACTACACAGGTCCCATGCCCCACGAAGCCAGCCCTGACCCCCTTTGGGGCTGGAATTAGGGACAAGGCCAAGTAAATGTGATTGGAGGCACCATAAATGTCAGAGGCAATGTGCCCAACCTGAGAGATTGAACTAAAATTAGTCTAAGCCCGTTGTGGCGACCTCTTTCCCCTTCTATAGTAACTGGTTTAAGGATGGTCATGTTCTGGCCAATAAGATGTAAGGGTGTTAAAGGATAACACTGAAGGGTGTTAATTAAAGGGAGGCAAACAAAGCAAAAGCTTTTTTTTTCTCTTTCCTCTCTCCTTTCTGCTAGAGATGCTGTCCTGTGAGGACATGATGCTGGGAGCTGCAGCAGCCATCTTGTAGCTATGAGGAGACACTGCTGCTACACTGAGGATGGGGTCCTTAGAGGACTCTGGTGAGTTTCTGGGCCCACCCTGGGACCACTACTTTGGGACTTCCTACTCAGTAACAATAAGTGTCCTATGAGTAAAGTCACCAGCAGCCAGAAGCATTCCTAACTTAATACGACTCCTAAGTACCTTCTCTCTTTGGCCATACATTTCCCACGTTCTTTGAAGCAGAGCAAAGGCTGCTACCTGTAGATTATGCTTTGATCAGGCCAGGGCAGATGAAGAATTAAATAAGTAAGTGATTGCCTGTCGTTGAATGGGTAGAGGAAAGCCACCTCTAATTTATCTTCCCTCTCTGCATAATCTGCATCCTTTGCCTCTGGCTACTTTCTAAAGTTTACTTACTGGGAAGAGTGATAAGAAAAGACATGACAGTTGATTCCTCCATGCCCACACTAGTAGGGATTTAACCACTACCAGAACTGCTTTTCTAGGATTAAGTTGTTTAAACTTTGTAGAGGATACTGTTGTATTTGCCTGCCCTGAATTCCCTTCATCTGGTAGTGAATTCCATTTTATCTTGGAGAACTGTCCAGCCTCTTTGCTTGTGCTCTTGGTAAGACTTTAGAATCAAGGTATCTGGCCCTCCTTTGACCAAGGCCTGGGCAGTTAATCCAGAGGCCAACTGGACTTTCTCTCCAGGAAATCTGAAACCCAAGGCAGTGCCCTGAATGGATTAATTCTTGCTATCTAAATTCTAGGTGATCCAGGGTTCCTGTCCTTGCTGAAGCTCATCCTTAGATTCTGTGAGCTATCCTATATATCTTCTTCTTTGTTTTCTTTTTTTTTTTGTCCTGCTACCTACAATTTCTATTGCACACCACCAAAGAATCAAAGAATCCAAACTTCAAACCTAAAATTTAAAGGAAGTGGAAACCCCAAATACAAACATCATTATTCAGCAGCTTATAAGTGAACTCCCTTACTTTCACATATTCTCTCACATTAATTGAAAATCTATGTAGCAGCCTAATTGCAAAACTAGCTCCAATTATCCACCCTTCCATGTATGCATGTACTTTGCAATGTAACTTGGTCACTCCCACCAAAAGGCGGAGAATATTTCCCCAACTTCTTTAACACAGGTTGACTTTGTGATTTGCTCTGTCAAAAATTTTGACAACAGAATTTGGTTAAAGCAGTGATGTATCTGTTCAAAGCCTAGGCCCCAAATGGCTTTGTCTGTTTCTGATCTATCTCCTGGGGCCCTGTGACTGCCATGTGAACAAGCCCAGGCTAACCTGCTGAAGGATGGGAGGCCACATGGAGCAGAGTTGATTCATTTCATCCAGGTCCATCTTAGACCAGCACCCTACTGACTCTCATCCAAAAATCTGAAAAGCTGTCTACAAGCCCACCACAGCTGACTACAAATACATGCGTGAGTCCATCCACAACCAAAGAACCATTCAGATGATTAATAAACTCCTGAACAACAGTAAATGGCCACCGTTTTAACCCACTGAGTTTTGAGATAGTTTGTTATACAGCAATAGCTAATTGATATCACCTATAAAGCATAAGGCACTGGACTGGTATTTAACCAATTATTATGTGCTTAATGAGTATCTAGCACTATGCTCATACATGAGTGCTTATTGAGGTTCTCATGGTAATCCCATAGCTTGTTTATTTATTTGTTTGCTTGTGTGTTTGTTTTAAAAATAATGTAGCCCCTCTCTACCTACACATTTTAGAGAGGCAAATATTTTAGAGAGTCATATTGACTATACCATCTAAATGGTAATTAGGAAATTTATCTGATACCAGAATATTTGTTTTTTATCTGGCATTAGCATAATCCAGCACGTCGCCAAAATCAGAAGGACACTCTGTTTTAACAAAGTATTGTGAGAGGTAATTGTGGACCTTGGGCACGGATTATTCCTATCACCTTTCTCCCTTCTTCTTCTAGCACATGTCTGAAAAATTGAATTGAATATTTAAATCTGCCAAGGGCAAGGCTTGTGGTTCTAGTGAAGACTGGAGTAACCTTAACGTTTGTGAGCCAGACCACAAAACACCACTAGTCCAACAGATTCCAAAGGCTTGAGTCAGTTCTGTGATCACTTTTGGAAAATTCTGCAACTGTCTATCCATTTAAAGCCAATGGATAACAAGGGGATCTGGTAGAAACAAAGGAAGCAATTCATTTCACAGACTAAAAGGACGGATTTCAGTAATGGGTATGTTTGATTTTCTCAGGTTTTGAAATAAATTTTTGAAAAGCTGTGTTCTAACCTGGTGCCTAAGACCAGCAGTTTATATAGCACAGTGGTTCATTTAAATAGATGAAATTATAAATATATTTAACATATATCCATCATTTTTACTGTACAAGGTATTTCTTAACAAAATGTGATTTTTAAATATCATTAGTAACTTCAGGTTGTGGTTCCAACAGGATTTAGAAAATGTTTTTGCTGATTCATTTGGCACAAAAGGTTTCCCCAAAACACAATGAAAATCCACTTGTAAAACAGGTTTTCCAGTGAACAAACATATTTTGATAGTGGTTCTGGTTATAACTCAAAGCAAGCTTCCAAGTTTCTTGATAAATTTGTTTTCTCTTCCATGACATCATGAAAGAACAATTCTTGCAAAAGACACATAGAAAACAAAACGAAACAAAACAAAAATTACTTAGGTCTGTCATTTAACTCTGCCAATTGCCAATTTATTGTTAGCAAAATGCATTACTTTTTTAAAGTGACGCAGGAGGTAAGTTACTTGAACAATATATAAGCTAAAAAACACCTAGCAAACTAAATAGTTCAGAGGTTTTCCACCCTACTCCATGATATTTCTAAGTTGTCAGACAAATTTATATTTATCAGTGATTATTTCTAAATGTTTTATCTCTGAAAGGAACACGTCAAACTGTAAGAAAAATGAACTTTGAAGAGTAAAATACTGTTTGGGGCAAAAGGAGAAATGGGAAATATAATTAGCAATGATGAAATTATCTAAGTGACAGTTCGTTTTATTGGGCTGTAATAGAATGTTTCCACATTAGCAGGTCTAAATGTTCACTCCACCTAATCAAAACCAGTTGTTTCATGTTTTTTTTTTTTTTGTTCCATATTGAGAAACAATTAAGCAAAACTCAAGGCTTCTCAGTGTAGCTTTAAGAAACTCAAATTACTTAGCCCTCCGTGCAAAGTTCAGGTTTCAAATAGAATTATTAAGGCGGAGAAGCTAAATCTCTTCCAAATCCAAATTACAGTTTTACCTGATTATTGATCTCAGATTTCAAATGTTAAAGACACAATTTACCCTCACTTCTTGTAACTGGTTTTGTGTCACTCTTTAAGCTTCAGACTGCAAACTCGTGGATGCCAAGAGTACTGGTCATTGTGATTCTGTATGTTTGTTGTCTTAGTCTGCCTTGTCATATTTCATCTGCAAACTTTTGATCTTGATTTATGTGTCCTTTGTGCTTTTTATCAAGATTGGAAAGGAAAGAGGAAAAGGAAAATAACTTCCTAGTTCTTCTCTGGGGGAATATAATTTCTTATAACTATTTCTAAGTGGGTCAAATTCATTTTAGAAACCTCTCTTAATTCATTCCCAAGTGCTATCCTTTGAGAAGATGGAAACTAGAAAGAGAGGAGAGGAGAGGAGAATATTCTTGGTTCTCCAACCCTTAGAAGCTTCTAGTTCTTAGGACATTTATTTCAATTTAATCTATTCATAGATATATTTTTATTGTTCAGTATCAATGAATACTGGGAGTGGGAAGGGGGCACTCCCCAACGAGGATATTCTCAAAATCCTCAAAGAAACAAATTTAGATGGGAATAAAATCCATAAAACAAGAGAAAGTTTGAAACTAGAACATGCTAGAACTAGAATCAACTAGAAATGTTAAAATGAAAATATAGTTGTTGAAATAAAAAATTTAAAAATGAGCTTCATAGCAGCTTCTTTACTGCTGAAGAATGAATGGGTAAACTGGAAGGTCAAACAAAGTTTATCTCCCAGAATAAAGAGAATGAAAATGTTAAAGAAGAGTTCAAAGAGAAGAGGACACATCCAAACCCTCCAATACCTATTTAATAGAGTGTCAGAAGCAGAGAATAGAAGAAATAGTGAAGAGGTAATACTGAAGAGATACTAGGAAGAACATCCCAAACTGTAGGGAAAAAATGAGTCCTTAAATAGAAAATTCCCATCAAGTGTATAAGAGAATAAATTAAGAACACACTCTTAGGAATATCATGTAAAATTCCAGAGCATCCAAGATAAAGTGAACATTCTAAAAGCTATCAGAGGGAAAAGACATAATAATACAAGGAAGGAATGAGAATGAGATTATCAGCAACACTGGAGGTTAGCAGTCAATGTGCTAAAGGAAAATAATTTTGGACCCAGAATTCTATATCTAGCCAAATTATTATCCAAGTGGAAAGACAAAATAAAGACATTTTCAGACATATGAATATTTGGAAAGTTTACTATCCAAAGATTCTCTTTGAATAAAATATACTAGGGTGTACTCCCGCAAGAAGAGAAGTAAATCTAAAGGAAGGGTACAAAAAGTCACAGTGAGCAAATAAATCATCAGAAATATAGTATTAAATCAAAATGTATAAGTTTTTAAAATTATGTGTTTAAAAACAAGCTGGAAACAAAATTTCAGAGAGTAGTAACACGGGAGTTGGGAGGAATAGTGTAGAGAGAAGTAAAAGTAAGTTGTGTCTTTTTGTGCTTGGAGAATAGAGATACTGATTAAATTATGTGTTTATATATTTTAAAGTAACGACTTACCTGCACACACATATATAAAACAGTAGAAGAGGGAAATGTGGAAAAAAGAAATGTAGTCAATACAATAAAAGACAGGACTAGAGAAGAAGAAAGGGAAAAAAAGAGTCAAGAGAAAAAAAGACTTAGCCTTAGTGACATTTTCTGAGCTCCTGGATTCAGCCTTACCTGATGCTAGATGCACTCCTGGACTTCTTACCTACTTGAGTCATTCAATCACCCTTTTGGCTAAAATTAGATTAGACGGATTTTTACCACATGCATCCCAAAGCATCTTAATCAATTCAGCCTTCATATTCATCACCCATATTTTTGCTTCACTTGCCTTCCCTTTCATGCTGAATTAAATGCTCACACATTTCCATAACATGTTAAAATTTATTTTTGAAAACTTCCAGGATATAAATAATGAAAAAAAAATTGACTCATTGCTAGATTCCTCATTCCTCTGACTTTTCAACATATCTGCTTTGCCATTCCCCAGCCCTGCATAGAGATGTCATCTATTTTTCCACCTCAGAGTCTGGGCCACACGGTCTTTGTTGGAAGAAGAACTTTTTAAAAATCAACTTCTTCAAGCAAAAGTGAAACACAGGATATGCCATTTATAGAGTGTTTTCATACCCAATTTGATCTGAGACGATAGCTTGGGGACAATTAAATAGCCATAAAATAAATCAGCCTCAGAGAGCCTATTTCCCAGGTCTAACATCCATCAGAGTTCCAAGCAGAGTTCCTAATCAGTTTTATTTACATGGGAAAGCACTTCCAGTTATATTTTTTTCCTGCTGCACTCACTGGCCAGGATTTTCTTCTGACCATCTGCAGAATCAAAAGTACTCCTTACCTGGATCACTCTTTCTCTGTTTATAGAGAACCTAGAAGCTTTTAAACATTCCACCGTCAGCATTTATCTCACTGTGGTGTGACTGTTGGTTCCCCTCTCCTAGCAGATGTTTGGTCAGAGGCTGTGCCTCAGCTATGCTTTGGTCCCAGGGCTTAGCGCAGGGCCTGGCCCCCAGGGGTTGCCTGGCCCCCAGTGGTGCTCAGTAAGCATTTGCTAAGTGGATGGATGGGGCCCCATACTTCCCCTGACTATGCTCTGTGCGTTCCAGCTTCCTCATTTAGCTTCTATCACCTCTCTCAATGCCTCCAATGTCCCCCTCACTCCCCCTGGACCTATTTTTCTCTATGTGACCAATTCAATCTCACTTTTTTTCAGGAAGACTTCCTTAACTTGGTGATCACCCTCTTTGGTGTCTGTCACCACCTGCCTCTTGCTTTATTATATTCTTTATTGAGGGCAGTCACTAGGAAACGTGGCATCTTTGTGAAGATTAGGAAAAGGTGCCCTCTCTGGACAGATACGCCCTGAGGTACATCAGAGCACGTGGCTTTGGGGGCAGAGAACAGACCAAGCTCAACCCTTTTTCCCTATTAGCTTTGTGCCCTTGTGCAGTGAACCGTGTACAGAGCCAGATGAGGTGGCCCTGACACAGAGCCTCCTTCCTCAACCAGACCACACCTGGGGCAGGGACTTTGTTTGAACCCCACCTTCTAAATCTTTTTAAGCCCCTTTTTATATTCCCAGCCTTTCATCTACCACATTCTTCATTCTATGTGATAAACGTTGTAACTGCTGATGCTTATTCTATGAATTTGTTGATTCTTGCTAGTTATTAGATTTCTTATAGGCTGGTTAAATGAAATACTGTCATTTTCTGAAAAACAGAGACAAAATGATTGTGAAGCAATCATACCCAGTTGCTTTTTATAACAGCTTAATTGAGATATAATTCTGACAACATAAAATTCATCCTTTTAAAGTGTACAATTCAGTGGTTTTTAGTATATTCAGAATTATGGAACCCATTATTGCCACAATACTTTAGCATATTTTCCACCCCATATTCATAAACATTCACTCTCCTCTCCCCCCTCCTTCCAGCCTCTAGCTACCACTAATCTTCTTTCTGGATCTTTCTCTATGAATATGTCTATTCTGGACATTTCATATAAGTGCATTCATATAATATGTGATCTTTTGTGAATGGATAATTTTACTTAGCATAATGATTTTAAGGTTAATAAACACTGTAGCATGGTTAAGTACTGCTATTCTTTCAAAGTTGAATAGGACTCCATTGTATGAATTTATCACATTTTATTTGTCAATTCACCAATTGATAAGATATTTGGGTTGTTTCCACTTTTGGGCTATCATGAATAATGCTGCTATGAACGTTCATGTGTAAGTTTTGTGTGGACACACATTTCCAATTTTCTTGGTTATATACCTAGGAGTGGAATTGCTGGGTCATATGATAACTCTATGTTTAACTTTTTGAGGAAATTCCAAGCTGTTTTCCAAAGTGGCTGCACCATTTTACAATCCCACCATCACTGTGGGTTCCAATTTCTGCACATTCTCATGTAAACATGCTATTGTCTTTCTTTTTTTATTAGAGCCCCTTACTGTTTGTGAAGAGGTATTTCATTGTGGTTTTGATTTGTGTTCCTAGTGAAAAGTGCTGTTGAGAACCTTCTTGTGAACAATCAGACTGAAGGTAGTGTAGGGATGCAGCGAGGTCTCAGAAACAACTGGAGGCAGGGTCACAAGTGCAGTCAAGACTCCCTCTCTTTCCCCATCAGCTGCTCTGCTTTTCTTTTCTTTTTTTAAAGGAAAGCACATTTATTTGTTTTAAATTTATTTATTTATTTTTGGCCGCGTCGGGTCTTCGTTGTGGCACGCGCAGCATGCGGGATCTTGCGTTGCGGCGCGTGGGCTTCTCTCTAGTTGTGGTGTGCAGGCTCCAGAGTGTGTGGGCT